CCACGCCTCAGTGCTGCGCAGGATCAAAAACTGGGTTTTCAAAAGCCAGACCACTAGGCGCAGCATTCAGGGTAAATTTGGCCTGATTCATCATCACCTGACACGGTGTCTTGCCCAAGTACACATGCTGATCTGGGGGCCTTTCACCCCCACTTTGCACTGCCAGAAATGCCTGCACAAGGTGCAGAGCAACGACACAATCACCTTTCACAATGGAAATGCATTAGTCTGTCTGGGAGAGACTGGGGGAGGGGGAAGATATGATAGAGGTCATGACAGGGAGGGAGAAAGCAAATAAGGAAAAGTTATTTACTTACAGGCAGCCCCCGGGTTATGTACAAGATAGGGACTGTAGGTTTGTTCTTAAGTTGAATCTGTATGTAAATCGGAACTGGCATCCAGATTCAGCCGCTGCTGAAACTGACCAGCGCTGGGGCTAGGAGGCCTCAGGACCCCCCCCTTTGAGATGGGGGGTGGCTGGGCCCTACAATCCCAGCCCCCTCCCCACTGCTTCTCAGACAGAAACTGACTCTTCCAGCCCTGCTCCCCAGACAGGGGTTGGTCTCTGCCTTCCTCCCTTTGTATCTCTCTGGGAGGCAACCTGTCAGACAGGTTGTGAGACCCTTGCCTAGTGTCTCATCTGCTGTCCTGTTGGGCCGTGCTACAAATAGCCACCAGTGGAGGTCACCCACTGCCCAAGCCCAGCAACCAGCAAGGCACCACCATACCACACTGGGTTATAGAGCAGACAGCATGCCCTACTACATCACACAAGGTGTTATGACTGCATAGGACTGGAGACCTCGATAGCCCAGTTAGTCAGTCCTGCATGGGTGCAGGGGACTGAAGTATTGTATAATGAGCTAGGGAAAAAATAAGGGCATGATAAAACCCAAATCTTATCATGCTTTTAGAAAAAGAAAAGTCACTTTGCAGTGGATTAAGAATACAGTACTGTAAGATTGCGGGAATAGCCATTTAACATACCACTCTTGCAACTCTTCCACAAAGAGCCAGGCACAAGATGTTTGTGTATCTAGCTAGCTCCCGGCCTGACCTTGCATTTACATCAAGGGAGCCACAAAAGAGGGGGCGTGTTTGACAGAGATGCCAGACCAAACGCAGGTGCAGTTAGGTACAGTAGCCAGAAGGAAGTTATCAGGTCTACCGAAGCTTACATTCGGATTGGCATGTGTTCACATTACTGAATTAAATATGAAAATGAATAATTCAGCCAGTGCAGTAGGCTCGGAGTTTCATCTGTTGATATTAAATCCAGTTTCCTTTATCCTATCTTTGTATTTTCAATTGTCAAGATGCTGGAGATTGACTTTGAAACCTCAAAATGACAAGGCGATAGGATAAACAGGATGGGTCACACCTCTCAAGCAATTTCTTCAGGCTTTCTGCACACTTAGGTGATATCACGCCATCAGCTCCACTCAGGTCACATCTTTTGTCTCTTCTTCAAACAGATGAAGACCAAGTGTAAACCTGTTTCCATTGAATTCAATGGGTGAGAACCCTTAGGGCAATTCTGATGGATTCTGAGAATCCCACTTATAATCTAGTTTTCAGAATGCAAGCAGAGATTCTGGTGCACAGCTCTGAAGCCCGGGGGCTAATTCTCTGGCGATGCAATACACAAGGCCCAGATTATTTTATGCCTCACAGAAACAACAATTAGCTGCATGAATGAGCTGCTCCTCCTTCAGCCGACCACAGTTTTGGTTCCACATACAGGCAAGTCACAGACTCCTTTTCAAAGGCTCACTCCAACAGGAATGACGCTTGGAAATCAATCCTTATAATTACATGTCAAACAGGCACATTTTTCCCCTTTTGTTCTCATTTTTCACTTAAATGCCACGCACTGATATAACATTTAAACTCGTCTTTGCCTTCTTCAGTGTTTAGTTTGCTTCCTCCAAGTGGCTGTCCTTAAAGCTGAGACTTTACAATGTATTGTGCTGCAACCAACGGGAGCTAAGCCGCCCTCTTCAGCAGAAATCCACCATAACCAACAAACGAGCAAGTCTCCTCAGAAATCTGAAAACAATGTAGATGCTCATCACTTATTGCCCCACTAATGCAGCCTCTGAGGGAGGAACAAACTCTGTGTTGAGTTGGGGACAGCTGTTGAAAGCTGGCGTCCTCACCAGGAGAGGAACTGATGAAAAGACGGCGTCATAGGGAATGTCTACATTGCATTCCTCTTTCGAGAGAGGAATGCAAATGCAGATGAACGAAATTGCAAATGAAACGCGGATTTGAATTTCCTGTGCTTCATTTGCATAATTGCGTTCGGGCGCTATTTCGAAATACCCTATTTCGAAAAAAGAAATGCAGTCTAGACAGTTATTTCGAAAGAAAACCCTTCTTTCGAAATAACTCTTAAAACTCATTTTATAAGGAGTAAGGGTTATTTCAAAAGAAGGGTCTTCTTTCAAAATAACCGTGTCTAGACTGCGTTTCTTTTTTCAAAATAGGGTATTTCGAAATAGCGCTCGGATGCAATTATGCAAATGAAGTGTGGGAAATTCAAATCCGCACTTCATTTGCAATTTCGTTTGCCTGCATTTGCATTCCTCTCTTGAAAGAGTTCACGCTGTTGCCCCCATCTGCAAGGGGGGCAAAAACCTACCTGATCCGTATTACCTGGAGGGCCAGGGGGTAGAAGTGCCAACTTCATAGAGCTGGTTTTCTCTTCCTACTAGATAGCCCATCTCCCTAGGAATCAGCATTAACAGTAGGAGACTGGTAAAACGGGGATGGTTGGATTGTCTTCTGTGTGTGCATCATCCTACCATCCAGTCATATAACCACTGAATATTACATAACCAGTCATATCTATTGAAGAGTCAATATTAACCCATGTGCTCCCACTTCCACCCTACAGAACCTACCACTGTGAGGACTTTCAAGTGTGGTGGCTGATGTCTGAGCTGTGGTGTCACAGGAAGCAATGAGGCCAAGAGAACCAGAGAGGTTGGCAGACACAGGCCTTGGCACGGGCACTTGTTGCACCATCAGCTTGCTCAAAATCCTCTCAGTATTGGAAGCTGCATGGTTATTTGTCCCCCCAAAGGAGGGTCAAACTTCCTGTTCCTCAGAGTTGCCTGGGACGTGGAGTGTCTGGTTTGTGTTTTCCATCCGCTTCGTGTGCAAACACCTCAGGGCAAGGACCATGCCTCTTTTCCCATGTCTTGTACTGCTCGGTAGCATTTAATGAGTAATAAATGATAACCACGAGGAGAGTTTAGGCAGCCAAGTAATTAATAAATCTAACCTAGTATGAAGACAGGAGACTGAAACTGACGTTCTATTTTACTGAAATTGGCCATGAAGTGTTTTATGTTAAATGGCCACAAGCGATCAGGATTTCAATGTACACCTTGTCAGAAAAGCAGCGCTCCAATGGCAGGATGCCCCTTGCATCATATTCAAGGACTAGCCCAGGGCTACTCAATTTTGGAAGCCCCGGGGGCCACAATGATTCTCACAGCACGTGCAGAGGGTCACAACTTAAGTGTGGTTGCATATGCGTGCAAATATATGCAAATGGCTTCTTTCACAGTGATGGCCATGAATACAAAGAATAAGGCAAGACTACATAACACGCAGGCCCCATTTAAGTCAGTTCTGCTGATATT